AGTTCCTCCAGCAGTGACTCTCCTCCTGAGATTGATACCTAAATTTCAATTCTCATTTTCGAATCAATACCTAAATTCTGATTCTTACTTTCGAGGTCGATACTAAATTTCAACTCTCTAAGGGTGGTGCATTGGTTTTAAAGGTCGATACTAAATTTTGACTCTCCTCCTGAGATTGATACCTAAATTTCAATTCTCATTTTCGAATCACTACCTAAATTCTGATTCCTATCTTTCGAGGTCGATACTAAATTTCGATTCTCCTCTCAGGATTCCTATCTTTCGAGGTCGATACTAAATTTCGATTCTCCTCTCAGAATTCTTACCTTTCGAGGTCGATACTAAATTTCGACTCTCCTGAGATTGATACTTAAATTTCAATTCTCATTTTCGAATCAGTACCTAAATTCTGAATCCTACCTTTCGAGGTCGATACTAAATTTTGACTCTCCTCCTATGATTGATACCTAAATTTCAATTCTCATTTTCGAATCAATACCTAAATTTTGATTTGCACATTTCGAGGTCGAAACCTAAATTTTGACTCTCTTCCTGAGATTGATACATAAATTTCAATTCTCATTTTCGAATCAGTGTCTACTCTTTTCGAATCACTATCTAAATTCTGATTCCTATCTTTCGAGGTCGATACCTAAATTTCGACTCTCTTCCTGAGATTGATACCTAAATTTCAATTCTCATTTTCGAATCAGTACCTAAATTCTGATTCCTATCTTTCGAGTAAGTTTTTCCGTTGCGGATTATTTGTCGATTTTCTTGAGTTTTCCGTCGTGAGTTATTTGTCTATTTTATCGAATTTTCCAGACAATGCTTCTTTTGTTTATTCAGTGAATAATAACTAGCTTAAAGGAGCAGCAAGTTTCCAAAATATACATGCTTGATTTACAATACAACAGTTTATTTCCTGGCATCATACTGTTCTCCTGGCATGTTATACTGTTCTCCTCTTTTATTCCCTATGTTTTATTGCTTCAATATACACTATGCCTTAGTATAGGAAAACTTAGTGGTTATATAGAATTGACATTAAACCGGGAGGTGCTACGACGAAGAGTTTGGAGCGAACACCGTGGGCAGCACGCGTGGGCAGCACGACGAACAGCACGACGAAAAATAACTTCAAGATGGATCTACAACATCAAAACACATTCATAACACCGATCATTTTTCCTAGTTTAAATAACAACCCATAGGATTTTGAGTTGGTTTGCCTAACGCAGCGTAAACCCTCATATATCACTTTTAGGCTTTTGCACAACTGTGGTTGTGCAATTATAAGTCCTAGCACTTTACGATTCCGAGGTTACCTTATGGTACGGTGTAAACTTCCCTCTGCTTTTCCCATATGGTTGGGTTCGGTTTGGGCTTTCTTTTGAATCAAATTACAAATGAAAATTTTGGCGCTGTTTTCCCCATGTGATTGGGTGCGATTTTGGCTTTGTTAACCAGGAAATATGGTTCTGTTTTGTCTTTTCTTGTGGGCTCGGTTTGACCCGTTGCAGAGCACGGTTTGCCCCTTTGCTGGGCTCGATTTGTGCCTTGAGTTGGATTGGTCAGGTGTTATGGGATGAAAATGGCTTCAGTATGGATGATTTACGATAGCTTGTCCATTCACTCTATTATGTATATCAAATACAATGCAATGACGTTACTTATGGTGGTTTCCTTTTTTGCTGCCTTTGTGGCCTTCTTCTTTGCCACTACCCCTGGGCATTGCTGCAGTAGTTCTTTGGTTTTGTGACATGGTTCAGGCTTGGCTTCCTCTTGCTGCTTTTTACCCGTGACCCTTACTGATTATGGTTTATGTTGTAATTGGCTGGAATTTAATTTGCTTCTTACTTTAGCCGGGCCATGAGTTCTCCCCATTGTTCTTTTATATTAAAAATGATTGGTTCAAGCTTAAATAATGATGATGTGCTCCCTGTTTCCTTGGCCGTGAGCCTTATTTGATGTTTATGGCCTTTATGGCCTTCCTCTTGTTGTCTTTACTCGTGGGCCTATGCTGTGGTGGCTTTCCTCCTATTGCCCCTACTCATGGGTCTATTTTATGGTAACTTTTCTCTTTTTCCTGCTCTTACCCGTGAACATTTCAGTTGGGTTGATTTCTTTTGTCTTGCCTGGTTGTTTCCTGTTTTCTCCTTTGCCGTGAGTATGACTTGGTGGCTTTGGTCTGTTGTCTTTGCCGTGAGAATGGTTTGGTGGCTTGTGGACATTTCAGTTGGTTCCCTTTGTCCTGTTTGGTTGATTCTCTGTTGTTCCTGGCTAAAAACATTCATATGAGTAATTTCATGGCTTATTCGACATAAAAAGCTTTTGATTAAAGATGGGATTGAATGGATTTCATATTGGCATAGCTTTTGGAAATTTAGAAAGTTGCTTCTGATGGATTACTCTCTTTCGCTTTGTGACATATGAAAAGTTCTCGAAACTATATTTCAAGAAATCATGAATTTCATGTAAATTGAATTCATGAATGGTTTAAAAATTCATAAAATTGCCATTTGGAAAGGATACTCTTCTGGGTTGATCCAATATATAAAAGAATTATATAAAAGTTGAGAAAATGATATTCTTTTTGGATTGATTCAAGGATCCTGAGCTCTCTTTTGAGGATTGTTTCACCCTTTTTGTCTTTCGATCTTTTGGGTGGATCAATTCCTTCTCTATCTCATTCCCATTTTTATTCTTTTTTTCCTTGCTTCTTGGTTCGGTTTTCTGTGCTTATGTCCGGTACATAAGTGCTCATGTATAACCTTTTGCTATATGTGAAACCATCAAACAAGGTCGCAAGTAGGTCGGTTTTATTTTGGGGCGTCGGACGATGATGACAAAGGCACGCCGGTGGTAGAGTAGAATGATATCTCATCCTACAACACCAGGACTCAATCCTGGGGTTTGATGAACTATAGGATGAAAGTGTCATTCACCGACATAAGACTAGAGGGGGACCCGTACCTTCTTAGGTTGATCGACTTGTGGACAATTATTCCTCTTTCAAAAATTGATAAAACAAATTGATAAGAATAAATACAATATTTATAAATATATTTTCACTATAAAATTAATATAACTTTCCTTTTGTATGCCTGAAATATATATACATGCTAAAATATAAATTTTAAAATGTATTACAAATTGGTTGTCCAATTGTTGATTATCGATACTAGGCTAAGGAGTACCCTTCTAAGTTAGATTCAGTAGAATATCCAAGTGGCGGGCTTAGTAGTCTTCGACGTCCCTTGAGTACAAATATATTATATTTGAGCCTAGCCCCGACTCGAGTGCTTGCAATCCTCTCTTTTTGGATTTTTCGTATATTTTATCCAAATTTTTGGACAAAGCACTCATAGTTTTTTCTCCGGGATCTTCTCGAGGTTTTGATAGTTTTATTTGAATTGTTACTCGTCAATTTTCTAAAGTTTTTCTGTTGTGGATTATTCGTCGATTTTCTCGAGTTTTTCGTCGCGAGTTTTTTGTCGATTTTATCGAATTTTCCAGACAATGCTTCTTTTGTTTATTTAGTGAATAATATAACTAGCTTAAAGGAGCAGCAAGTTTCCAAAATATACATGTTTGATTTACAATACAACAATTTATTTCCTGGCATGTTATACTGTTCTTCTGACATGTTATACTGTTCTCCTATTTTATTCCGCATGTTTTATTGCTTTAATATATACTATGCCTTAGTACAGGAAAACCTAGTGGTTATATAAAATTGACATTAAACCTGGAGGTGCTAAGTCGAAGAGTTTGGAGCGAACACCGTGGGCAGCACGACGAGGAACAACTTCAAGATGGATCTGCAACATCAAAACACATCTATAACACCGATCACTTTTCCTAGTTTAAATAACAGCCCATAGGATTTTGAGGTGGTTTGCCTAGCGCAGCTTAAACCCTCATATATCACCTTTAGGCGTTTGCACAACTCTGGTTGTGCAATTATAAGTCGTAACACCTTGCACAACTCTGGTTGTGCAATTATAAGTCCTAACACTTTAGGTTTCCGAGGTTACCGTATGGTACGGTGTAAATCTTCCTGTCTTTTTAGGCTATTTGCACGATTAAATATCGTGCTAATGTAAGTCTTAAATTCTAAAAAAAAAATTGCAGTTGCAGGATTAAACATTGAACAATTGCAGGATTAAACATTGAACAACATCATTTCAAAAACATAAAGCCAAACAATAGGATAGTTGAGAAATCACCGGGGTCCTCTCTGGATTTGTAATATCCCCTACTCTTTATTTCATTGGATTCCTTAAAAATAGTTGTTCCTATTTGAGCAAATGCCCATTTGTTTTTTCATGTCCAATTTAGAAAACCTAGACTTTGAAATCTGGAAAGTAAAACCATTAATCTTAATCGAAGAAAACCTAAACTTTGAAATCTGGAAAGTAAAACCATTGATCTTAATCGAAAGTTTTCTTATGTGACCCCGGTCATTTAAGATGTAATTAACTATAGGGCTTGCCTCTATAGGAAATTTGGAACCCAGGTAAAATAAACCATATCGAATCCTTTATATTAAGTAGGGGAACTTGTTAGCCTCATATAAAATATTTCACAGACCAAACGAGTGTTACAAATTCTTTAGTTAAGGTGATTAAGCCTACTACAAGTGATATGTTTATTCTTGGGAATAAGTATATTACTTGTGGTATCGTGCTCAGTCATCCAAACTATCTAAAATATGAGACTCGTTTAGTCTTATCTATTTTAAAATTAAAATGTTACTTTCATAAATTATATTTACATCAAAACTATTTTCATATTTATAAAACTTATCCCATTCTTCAAAAATCACCAAGTTTTAAAGTTTTAAAATTAAAAACGGACAACAAAAATGAGATGAAATTTCAAATTTCCCTTCCTGATTTTTTCTTACACCAATTTATTTTCTAGTTTTCCACGTCACACTAATTAATCTTTGTTTTTTTCGGCCCTCAACATGATTATTGCAACAATGCATGCAGAAAGTTCTTGATGGATTTAAGAGTTTGGATAGAACTTTAAACACTGCAGAGTACATTTCTAGCACCGTTGAACCGGTATGTATAGCATATGATCATATTTTGTAAATATAAAATATTTGAATTTCTAATGCACAATTCATAACTGAAACTTTTTTTCTGCTTCATTCTGTGCAGCCACTTCTTATTCAATTTCGATTGTTCCACAATGGCTGTGCTGTGAAAGGAACACTTCTTGTAAATAAACAGGTACTAATAAATTTCCAACAAGCTATTTGTGCTTTTTATCTTTGCAGTATATCAGAATATTTAATCATGAGTTTAATATTGTGTAATGTGGGATTGATAAGTCCTTTTTTTGAAAGCATAGTAAATTTTTTTATCAGTTAGGGAACATAGCAATAATATGAGACAATTGCATAACTTCGCTAGATTGATGGTATTTAAAAGAAAATATTCTGACAAAGCCTTTTTGGGACAAAGGAACCAAGTTGTATAAATAGAATCCAAAGATCCTCATTAAAAATATCTAATTTGTTGCCTGGTTTATTTTGAAGTGTGATAATATAATTTCATGCCAATCTTATAAAATTTGAAACTTTTTTCATGTAACGCTTCTAAATTAAGAGGTTCACATTAGCTGAAGAAGATAGAGAGCCTGGACTAGAGCACAAGCAGGAATAACGTTGATGTCAAGGACTCTTGGTGGGTTTGAATTTCTGATCATGTGAGTAGTTGTGATGTCATTCTTATCACTTGGCTAGAAACACATGATGACACTAATTCCAATGCAATATTAACTTGTGCAAGATGTAGCTTAGAACGAAGTGACCATTTAAGCTTGTGCATTTTTGGATACCTTGGCAATTTAGCTAGCTGAAAATATCTCACCATCTTGAAATTAGATAATTGAACGTATTGTTAATTACCACTTGACATACTAATTTTTTTGTGGTCCTTTTGTCATAATTTATTTGCATTGATCCTATTCCTTTTCTAATTAAGCATATTTCACTCAATGAATTGTGTGTGTGTGTTTATAAATCACGATGTCCATTATCACTTTTCTAGGGTTTTCTCTGGCGACTTCATGGCGGTTCGGGTAACCGTAGCTGTTTGTCGACTCATCGTCCTCGAAGAGGAAGGGTGGGGGACCGCGTCGCTTCTTTCGTCGCCTCTTCAAGCCCTAGCTTCTCGCTCAATTGCATCATTCTTTGTTCTCGACGCCTCGTCGTACTTGAAGAAGGGAAGGGAAGCGTTGTAGCATGTTCAGGTTTCGTCGCCACCCTAGCCTTCCTCTTTCGGTCTGTTTTTCTTGCTTAGATGGGTGCACTCCTTCCTTTTTTGGTTGAACCCGACTAAACCTCTTTCACACATGTGCTGGGTAACTATCTGGTGGAGTCAGTTGTTATTTTCCCGTCGAGTTATAAAGAATGTTGTGATGGTATAAATGACTGCCCCTTTGTTAAGAAGACAAGTAGGAAGGGTGAGAGAACAATTTTTTTTCTCTGATTCAGAAATTTCAACTTTAGCTGAGATATGCAATTCTCTGGGAGTGCTACTGATCTTATCAGATGATTTCTCCTTATATGATAACGTAATCTCAATGTGAGAATCGATTACTTTAAATCTTGTAAATGATAAATAATTTCAAGACAATAAAGTCAATGTTCTTTTTATTGAAAATCTTTTCGGAGAAGTTGAAAAGAAAATATGGATTCAGTGGAGAATGACCTTCCAAGATGAGTATGAAGCACTTGTAAATATTGCGGATGACCCGCAGAATATTATATCTCAGATCCGAAGAATTATTCTTATGAAAGACTCATTCCAAGGCTCGACGGAAGAACAAAATTGAGCCTACCTAGATTTGGAGCGGCTGTCATGTAACGAAATTAAAAATATGTTTGAATTCATAAATAACTATAAGGTGCTCGCTTTCAAGTCAGGAAGAATGTTTATCAATCCAGAATTATCAGACAAATTTTTTCGAAAGATGGGCAATGAGATTGAGGGAGCCTTTAAGGCTAAATACACACGTAACACAATTGGTATTTGTTGACCTCATTTTCGGTCGATGTGTAGTTTTCTCCTTCTTAGTAGCCTAGGATCTAGCAGCCAGGGAGCTAGCCGTAGGACCTTTCTGCCGACTACTCCTAGAAAACTAGTGAAGGAGTCATCCGCGTTAGCAATTCTGGGTTAGCAATTCTGAACTTTTCTTCGCTCAACTTGACATTCCATGTAGTAGTCTTGACTGCTATTGTTTAGCAGGTAAGGCTACTCTGAAGGAACTCAGGGAGCATTCCTATAGGAGCATTCCTATAGGACTGGGAGCATTCCTATAGGACTGCCAGCCTTAGGATTGACTCTACTCGTTGATTTGGCGCCGCTGCGCTCTCCGTCGTCCTGTTTAATCGAATTTGAGTCAATTTTCGTAGGATTCGGACCGCGACGCTTTTTTTTTAGCCCGATCGGCGTTTAGCCCGTTCGGTGATGAGGTTGCCCGGACAACTCCGGATGACGAAACGGACTGCGCAGATGCGTCCGGAATGTCGATTTTGCTTAGGGGGGACGTTCGTTTTATAGCGACGGCGCGTCTTGGGTAAAATATCTATTTAAGTGTTAATTATAATAATAAATAATATTTAAGTTATTATTATTATTATTATTATTAATAACTTAGTTTAAAACCCCTGCCTCAAAAGCTTGTGAGCTGTTCCTTGGCTTTGAATGGTTATGTTTTATCTTGAAATGACTGGAATTTTAATTTCTGCTAAAGATCGGATTTTAATCTATGCTCAGGCTTTGTCTTGGCCTTGAACGACTCAGTTTTGGGTCTTTGTGGGTAATCGGTTTTCATTACAGGAGCATGAGATGTTAATTTTTGTTGAGGATGGGCTTTTGGTTTTGGTTAGAACGTCCTACTAACTGTTTAAACTTCACGTATGAGCTTTGAAGGATTTGCTTTTGGCTCTGTTTGCGGGGCTTTGTTCACTTGCTTTAGCTCTTATCCGATAGGCCGTTTCTGGTGTTTATTCCTACCCCTGCTCTATAGCTGTGTGAGGGTTTGGTTTCATTTGCTTTGGCCCCTGCTGGGTTCGGTTTTTGCATCTTATGAATGTCCTTTGGCTTAATTATACATATTGTGGAAAAGTTTATTTTGGATTTGGATCTCCATAGCTTGTTCTTGTTTGAGACATATGACCGCCCTATATTTTGATGTCTTGAAGGCATAAAGATGTTTTCTAGTCCTTGTTGTGGCCTGGGTTCGAGCTTTAGCTGTGACTCGGTTTGGCTCTGACTGTGGCTCGATTTTGCCTTGTTCTGCCCCTACTCGAGAGGTGGTTTGGGTTCTGATTTCTGTTGGCCCTAACTCCTATGGTTTGAAAGTTTATAAGGCTGCAGTTTGATGTTTGCTTGGTCCCTAGCCGTGGGTTTGTGATGTGGTTGAGTTAGCCTCCCCCTTTGGTCCTGCCCGTGAGCTCACCATTAGGATTTGCTCCTCTTGCAGTCCTGACTTGTGAGGCCTATTGGAGTTTGTTTGTTGTGATTCGGTCCTTCTCGTTGGGCTTGAATGACTTGAATGTTATTGATGAATCAAGTTTGTCATCCCAAAAATTACAATTATCTCATTTATCCCCTTATGTATGTCGAAGGAATATAGTAGCAAGTGGTGGTTCTTTTGGTTGCCTCAGTTGTGAGCCCCTTATGTCTTGGGTTGCTTCAGCTGTGAGCCTTGTTGTGTCTTGGGTAGTCTTTGGTCGTGGGCTTTAGCAGCTGTCCTTTTGTTGCTTTAGCCAAGAGTCTTAGCTGCTGTTCGTCTCTTTGTATTGAGCTTGACCGTAAGCTTCTTTGGGAGATTTCTGAATTTCATTACGGGAGAATACTTGATTGAAACTAAAGCATATCTTTGGGGTTTGAAAAATCAGCGCAAAGTAGCTTTTTATGGTTGTTGGGAAAGACCTCAGACACTATTTTTGCAGGTTTTTTAGATAGGAGTTTTGAGAACTGATCCATTCTCCTTTTCGGTGTTTTAGATGGATCAGTGTCTCCTCTCTCTCACCCCATTTTTGTTCTTTTCTTTCTTTGTTTTTTTGTTCGGTTTTTGGATGAATTAGTTTGAAGAATTTTGAGATATTAAAACTAATATTCTTATGTAATGAATTGGATAATGTAAAAGAATGAGATGCATTAAATATTATATGTGCCAAATAAGAGCAATCCTATTCTTTACCTTTTGGTCGAGGCATAAAAAACATTGAGTAATCCTATACTTGTTTACTAAATCCGTGGCTAGGCTGGGAGGATACCAGCTCTCCGGAGCTCTCACGTTCCCCTCACCTGAGGGCTAACATCTCCGCTTCAGTACTCAAACAATAGGACCGAATTGGGGATTTTAGTCTGTCACCCTAAAATCTCCAATTCTACGTCCATCGAAGTATATTTCCCTATTTATTTGCATTCAACTCCCATGAACTTTCTACTTTGTTGAGAATTACACAGCCTTCTCGGGTCTTAATGCAATTACAACAAATTTTAACGTTACAACAGACTTTTGTTGTAATTTAAATAAACTGCAAGTAAAAACCATCACATTGATAATTAAATCTGCTCCTAACATGTAATCTTAAACATGAAACCTACTCATTGTAATAGAAAAGTAAAAGTAAAAGAATGCCATAATCTTCTCATGCTACTATTTCCAAAAAAAGAAGAAAGAGTAAGAGAAATATATCATAATGCTTGAAGAAAACATAATGAAAAACTTCATTACATCAAAGAAAATCCGCTAAATAAGTGCTTAAAAAATCATATAAGATAATGAAGAATACAATACTTAGCTTTTTCCATTGAAAGAAAGAAAATCTCTCCCACAAAGTCTCCCGTCGATCCATGCAATGTTAGAACATCTCCTTACAAATTCTCTCAGAATCCCCTCCAATTTCTCTAAAAAGATAGAAATCTACATTTCTACTCCTATTCTAAGAAACCTAAACTTTCTCTACACTTTTCCTAACATTCCTCTCATAAAAATCCCCTTTTCCTAACCTAAATTCGTTCTTTTAAAGTGTAGGGACAAAGTTTAAAGAGTTGCCACAAGCACCGAGAGTTGCCACAAGCACCCTTCCAAAAAGAGTTCAAATACATTGAATTTCAGCCCATAACTGTCAAAAGTCTGTCCATAGTCGTCCCAGGCGTCGTCGGCGGGCTCGAGGGCGCCGTCAGCGAGCTCGGGGTTGGCGCCGTCG